GTTTATTTCATTCAATTATTGCTGAATTAATTTATTTCATTAATACATGTAAAAAGATGATAGATCAACATCCCTATGTTTTATATTCTATGAAGTTTGACACAGGCAAGACAATACAACTGCTTTTTCAAAATTAAATAAAATGCTCCGCTGGGGCGCAGCTTGATACGACCGCAGAGGTCTAACCCTGAACAGTTGGGGCAAGTATGGACACAACATTCAAGCTTGATACAGCACTGAATTTGGATTGTAATTAAATATTTGACACAGCATAGGTTTCTGACACAGAATGAAAGTGGTCTGAGAACTTAAAAAATTTTAATTTACCTATTCAAACCATATCATTATTATTTGCTTTTATATATTAATCAGAAATAACCAATTTAAAATGGAAAATTTTAAAGAAAAAAAAATCCCCCCCAAATTTTTTGAACCCCCTTATGATTCATCACCCCCAAACTCAATCCCAGCCTTCCCTTTGTGGTATGGTACTTTGCAGTACAATTTCAGAGAGATCCATACACTTGAACACAAGTTATTGTCTGGAAACTAGAAAAATGCTTGTTTTTTGGCCCCTTTTTGGCCCCAAATTCCTAAACGTTTAGGGCAATTACCCCCAAACTCAAACCCAGCTTTCCCTTTGTGATATGGAACCTTGCAGTACAATTTCATAAAGATCCATACACTTACACACAAGTTATTGTCCTGAAACTAGGAAAATGCTTTTTTTTTGCCCTTTTATGGCCCCTAAATTCCTAAAATTTTGAGGGAATTACCCCCAAAATCAATCCCAGCCTTCCCTTTGTGGTATGGTACCTTGCAGTACAATTTCAGAGAGATCCATACACCTGAACACAAGTTATTGTCTGGAAACTAGAAAAATGATTATTTTTGGCCCCTTATTCCTAAACTTTTTGGGCAATTACCCCCAAACTCAATTCCAGCTTTCCCTTTGTGATATGGAACCTTGTAGTACAATTTCATAAAGATTCATACACTTACACACAAATTATTGTCCTGAAACTAGAAAAATGCTTGTTTTTTGCCCCTTTTTGGCCCCTAATTCCTAAAATTTGGAGGCAATTACCCCCAAAATCAATCCCAGCATTCCCTTTGTGATATGGAACCTTGTGATACAATGTCAGAGAGATCCATACACTTACACACAAGTTATTGTCATGAAACTAGAAAAATGCTTGTTTTTTGCCCCTTTTTGGCCCCTAATTCCAAAAATTTGGAGGCAATTACCCCCAAAATCAATCCTAGCATTCCCTTTGAGATATGGAACCTTGTGATACAATGTCAGAGAGATCCATACACTTACACACAAGTTATAGTCATGAAACTAGAAAAATGCTTGTTTTTTGCCCCTTTTTGGCCCCTAATTCCTAAAATTTGGAGGCAATTACCCCCAAAATCAATCCCAGCATTCCCTTTGTGATATGGAACCTTGTGGTACAATGTCAGAGAGATCCATACACTTACACACAAGTTATGTCTGGAAGTTACAAAAATGCTTATTTTTGGCCCCTAATTTCTTAACTGTTGGTACCATAACCCCCAAAATCAATCCCCACCTTCCTTTTGTGGTATTGAACCTTATGGTAAAATTTCATAGAGATCCATTCACTTAAACTTAAGTTAGAGTGCGAAAACTAATGTGTCTTAGGACGACGCCGACGTCGCCAACGTCATACCAATATACGACCACAAAAATTTTTTTGCGGTCGTATAAAAAGTTGTCTGTTAGCGTGATTTAATGACTATTGCATTTTAAACCCTTAATGTTACTACAGAACGACAGATACTTTGATGATTTGATGTAATTCAATGAGGTTTTAATTACTGAAAATGTAGTCAAATATCAATTATTTAAATGTAATTAACAGCAAAAATTCAATGAATAATCTGCATATCAAACATATCCCCGACACTAAATTCTACACAGGTTGCATGGAGAATTTGTTTTATTCGTTTTGTTTGTGTGTCATAGAGTTTGTATTTACTATTTAATAATACAGGTGTATTGATTGGTATCACATCAAAATATTGTTTTCATCCTAAGGTTATCTTAATATAGTGCTATTGATTAACATTTGATTTATATAATGCAGGATATTTTTCTTCAACCTCAAATATCCTGTAGGTTTTAATAAAGAGCCATGAATTATGCACAATTATATTTATAAACCATAGGAATATGAGAAAATGGGCAAGGAGTTGGATTTTTTAAAAGATATGTCACTGAATGGACAATCATAATGATGTTTTGGACTTTAGGGATAAACTTTTAAACAAAATGATAAAATGAATATACTTTTACTTCAAAACATATATTTTGATCAAATATGATGGTCAAATGCATACAGGAGTTTGTCCTACTGAAGTTTTATTTGAAACATAAATTTGTTTCACTAAAGTGCCTGAAAGGAGCGTTAGTAAAAAACATCTAACATGCAGAATAGTTCATATCCAGCAAAAAGTCGTCAGCTTCTAAAAGAAAAGTATAAAGAGATTAATATCAACAAGTATGAATTTACAACATATAATGATCATTTCACAAAAGAACTTGGATTTATTTTTAACTGTTGAGAAATTTGGGCTATTCCATTAAAATGGGTGTTAGAGGATAGGGATATCTATAATCCTACCAAAATGAAAATAATTTCTTCAAGTAATTTTACTTGGCTATAAAGTTGGCAGCATCAAATGGAGAAACAGACACAAAATAAATTTAAGTTTCCTTTCCCTCCCACATGCATTTTAATGGAACAGCCCAAATCACCTCCCTTTGTAATCATGTTTTCTTTTAAGCAAAGAGATATACATGTACATTATAGACTTCATTGATTGAATACTCAAACTTCTGATGTGAAATCAACAAAAGGTTCTTAAAAATTAACGTGAAATAATTTTCTATTAGTATTCAAAACTGCATTTAATGCAAAATTAGCTCGACGTCCTTTATTCAGTAACTATTTCACGATTATTATACAACATTAAAAAGAACAGTGTGCAAGCTGTTGAATAGTTACTGATTACCTGGCAAAAAAGTGCTATTTACTTTTCAATTAAATATATAAATGCTGTTGAAATGAAATTAATTATTGCGATTTTTTTTAAGAAATTTTTTTGGAGGCCAGCACAGTCCCTTAGGTAGTATCCCACAGGTATTCTGATCTCCCAAAGGGATTGTAACATTGCTTATTATAGGGTTCATGCATTTTCTAAATATATATGCATTCACTACCAAATTCAAATATCAAAATGGAACATTTTTTTTTTTTGTTGTTCTGGTTAAATCTTGTCAACATTTTAGGTATTTCGCTTCCCATTCTATTAGTTTCTAGTGTAACAAATGCTTTAACCAACAATTTGTGTCAAACACACAGAAATATGTGTCATATATGTCTTACACGCACACATCTGGGTCATACACACAGGAAAAGATATCACAAGCTACTATTTGACCCTGTTTTGGGGAAAGCAAATTTAACTGCTGACTTTCCATGGTAAAGTGTAAAAGAGCACCTTTCCTTTCCAAATACATGTAACAAAAGTAAATTCAGAAGTTTTTACAATCTTCTATTATTGTAGATTAGATAGGTTTTGCAAGAAAAAAAATGTGAATATATATTTTTGATAGCATTATCTGTACGCAGCACTTCCTTAAATAGTAAAAATAAGTTTTACATTTTTTCCATAATTCAACAATAGCAAAAATAAATGCAGGCAAAAATTTCTAAATTTACAGTTTACTTAAACAGCTGCACATGTTCATATACTGGTAAAACAATATTATAGAAAATATATAAAAGTAGAAACACGCTGTATAAAAATCTTGTGTGCATTTTTCATATTGAAATTACACTAAAAGCTAAGTAAGTTGCACAAATCAAAATTGGTCCAGCAATTAATTCTTCTAGACCTCCCAATTTGCAATTTGTCATAAGTGCTGATTTAATTGTCTTGGAAATGTCAGAAATAAAATAGTAACTAATAAATGATACTGTACATTCAGAAATTATTGCGCGCATTTATTATTGCGATTTTTGAAGAAAGAGACAAAAATTATTTTGAATCTAATAGGACAAATTCGGTAATTTTGTTAACCGTGAAAGCCCTATACACACAGTACTGTTTTGGCTGTTCCGTTTTACCCCCATATGATAATATTAGTAATATTATTTTATTCAATAATAAATCTTAAAAAAATCATTTTTTTCACCTAAATATGTTCTTTTAATGTAAATTTATTGCATTTTAAGTCGTACAAGAAGCTTTAAAACGCCCAGTGTTTACATTTGATGCCGGAAGCATACATATGACGTAACCTTGTTTAGTTGCCATGCAAAGACAATAACATCATTTCGCGGAATTTTGGTTTTATGAAATTTTACACCAAAAAATAAATTGAAATAGACTGATTTGTTTATTTTGCTTTAGAATAGAGATAATTATATTGTATCTGAATCATGGCCTACGTAAACTGTGGGTTTTGATGTCGCAAATTGAGAATAACTGGTAGTATAAATAAGTTGGGCATAACGCGGAACAGCCAGTTTTGTGTATTTATGCGCTTGCGCTAATAGTAGATATACTGTGATTATACTGGTTGACGATACATAGGTCGTCATATTAGAATGCGAGATTTATTATTGAGATTTCAGGAAAATCTGCATACACTTATATGTATCAGATATCAGAATGCGAGTTCTTATTATTGCGAGTCGCATTATTTGAGATAATAAAAACCTCCCAATAATTTCTGAATTTACGGTATTCAATTCATTCAATTGCATAGATTTTGCTAGGTTTCAATATCCTGTTTGATATATAATAGACTTTGTTCACTTAATTACTGACCTAACACTGTGAAGAACATTTTATTCAGTCACAAACTGTTACTTACACACATACAATTTTTAATCTTAGAAAATTGTGTGCAGAGCAATTTACAACATTTAAAAGCATGATAATAAGATACACATAAAACTTACATTTTTGGTAATGGCAGAATTTCGTTTAATTCCGTTTGAATTATCACTATATAATTTGACATCCCCTTTGCCAGCTGCATGATAAGTGACTTTACTAGCGTCTATATGAATAGTCCTTGTTTTAGGCACATATGATACCAGTCTACAAAGGAATAAACACTAAAATAAGAATTCTATACACAAGTTTTATTCACAAAATCATTAACACTAAATATAATGTTGAGTATAACCTCAAGTTAATATGGAGATCAAATTTTTCAAACATGACAAAAATGCTGGTCTACAGTAAATAAAATGCTCCGCAGGGTGCAGCTTGATACGACCGCAGAGGTCGAACCCTGAACAGTTGGGTCAAGTATGGACACAACATTCATGCTTGATACAGCTCTGAATTTGGATTGTGATTAAATATTTGACACAGCATAGGTTTCTGACACAGAATGAATGTGGTCTAAGAACTTAGAAATTTTTAATTTACCTATTCAAAATTTTTTTAAATTGGACATTCACCTATTATGGTCCAATATCCAAAATCTAAATACATGGTTAGATTCAGCATATCAAAGAACCCCAAGAATTCAATTTTTGATGAAATCAAACAAAGTTTAATTTTGGACCCTTTTGACCTCAATGTGGACAAAGTTGATAACAGGGCCCAAAAATCAAAAATCTAAATACATGGTTAGATTCAGCATATCAAAGAACCCCATATATTCAATTTTTGTTGAAATCAAACAAAGTTTAATTTTGGACCAAGATTTGGACCAACTTAAAAACTGGGCCCATAATCAAAAATCTAAATACATGTTTAGATTCAGCATATCAAAGAACCCTAAGAATTCAATTTTTGTTAAAATCAAACTTAGTTTAATTTTGGACCCTTTGGACCTTAATGTAGACCAATTTGAAAACGGAACCAAAAATTAAGAATCTAAATACACGGTTAGATTCGGCATCTCAAAGAACCCCAATAATTCAATTTTTTATGAAATCAAACAAAGTTTAATTTTGGACCCTTTGGACCTCAATGTGGACCAATTTAAAAACGGGGCCCAAAATCCAAAAACTTAATACATGGTTGGATTCAGCATATTAAAGAACCCCAAGAATTCAAGAATAAAACCCCATTGAAATTGGTCAAGAAATAATCAATTTATACGAAGTATCTTCTTTTGCACAATACTGTGCAATTAAATATTTCTTGCTATTGCGCAATACTGTACAATTGACAATTTCTTGCTATTGCGCAATATTGTGCTATTGGATATTTCTTGCTATTGCGCAATACTGTGCAATTGAAGATTTCTTGCTATTGCGCAATACTGTGCAATTGAAGATTTCTTGCTATTGTGCAATACTGTGCAATTGAAAATTTCTTGCTATTGCACAATACTTATTATATAATAATTTACACATCCTGTTTGGTGTGTATCTCCTACCATATCATTATTATTTGCTTTTAAATATAAATCAGAAATAACCAACTTAAAATGGAAAATTTTAAAAGAAAAAAAAAAGGAAAAAAAGAAAAAAAAGGAAAAAAAAGAAAAATCTCCCCCCCCCCCCCCAAATTTTTTGAACCCCCTTATGATTCATCAACCCCAAACTCAATCCCAGCCTTCCCTTTGTGGTATGGTACCTTGCAGTACAATTTCAGAGAGATCCATACAATTGAACACAAGTTATTGTCTGGAAACTAGAAAAATGCTTATTTTTGGCCCTTTTTTGGCCCCTTATTCCTAAACGTTTAGGGCAATTACCCCCAAACTCAATTCCAGCTTCTCCTTTGTGATATGGAACCTTGTAGTACAATTTCAGAAAGATTCATACACTTTCACACAAGTTATTGTCATGAAACTAGAAAAATGCTTGTTTTTTGCCCCTTTTTTGGCCCCTAATTCCTAATATTTTGAGGCAATTACCCCCAAAATCAATCCCAGCATTCCCTTTGTGATATGGAACCTTGTGGTACAATGTCAGAGAGATCCATACACTAACACACAAGTAATGTCTGAAAGTTACAAAAATGCTTATTTTTGGCCCCTTTTTGGCCCCTAATACCTTAACTGTTGGTACCATAACCCCCAAAATCAGTCCCAACCTTCCTTTTGTGGTATTTAACCTTATGGTAAAATTTCATAGAGATCCATTCACTTAAACTAAAGTTAGAGTGCGAAAACCAATGTGTCAAGTATCTTCTTTTGCACAATACTGTGCATTTAAATATTTCTTGCTATTGCGCAATACTGTACAATTGACAATTTCTTGCTATTGCGCAATATTGTGCTATTGGATATTTCTTGCTATTGCACAATACTGTGCAATTGAAGATTTCTTGCTATTGCGCAATACTGTGCAATTGAAGATTTCTTGCTATTGTGCAATACTGTGCAATTGAAAATTTCTTGCTATTGCACAATACTTATTATATAATAATTTACACATCCTGTTTGGTGTGTATCTCCTACCATATCATTATTATTTGCTTTTAAATATAAATCAGAAATAACCAACTTAAAATGGAAAATTTTAAAAGAAAAAAAATAAAATGCTCCGCTGGGGCGCAGCTTGATACGACCGCAGAGGTCGAACCCTGAACAGTTGGGGCAAGTATGGACACAACATTCAAGCTTGATACAGCAATGAATTTGGATTGTAATTAAATATTTGACACAGCATAGGTTTCTGACACAGAATGAAAGTGGTCTAAGAACTTAAAAATTTTCAATTTACCTATTCATACATGTGATGGACTGTGAAACTCAGATCAGGAGATTGGGAAATTTTGGTCAGGAGATTAGGACTCAGATCAGGAGGTTTTTAATCGACATTAATTTTGTTGTAAATGTAACCGTGTGCTGTAAAAATGGTCTTTTAAAGTGTGTTTTCTTCAACTTTCCAACCAATTTATTATGTTTATAGTACCCTTGTACTTATAAAGTTTCTCCATCTTTATATTCTACATGTTCAATCTAACATTGTTTTTTTCCAGTATGTTCTTTAAATTTTTTACTTCATATTCTATAAAACAATCATTGCAACCAGAACATTTGTTTAGCTGTCTGCAAATAGTTTTTATTTTTTTTTTTTTTCTCTTGCAAATAGTTTTTATTTGCAAACTCAGAAATTCATTCTATCTTGAAAGTTAGGGTCATAGTTATTATATAAATTTCAATTTAAGCCTTAAAAGGAAGTATAGAATCCTCAAATAATTTTCAAATTATTATTTTTTTATTTGTCCTAAGACATTTAAAATCATTTAATAACCATCCTTTTATGATTATTTGTTCAATTTATATTTTATTTATATTCTTTTAAAAATTTTCATTATTAAAAGGAAAGTAACTTAAAACAGGATAAATCAAGGGAAGTAACCCAATAAATACAGAGTTTTTGTTACACAACGGCAGTTAGCCTGAGGTAAAAATCGTTGCTTACCAGTATGTTTGACACCCAAGCTGACAAGTGAAGCCATATAATTATGCATGTTTATTGATTTACAGGTAAAATATAACTTCAGGTAATGTCAGTTACACCAGATGCCTGAGATGTTATGTTGGGCAGAAATTTTTCATTCATGAAAAATTTCATACACGGGATTTTTTCAACGGGAGGGGGGGAGGAGACCCCTGAAAACGGGATTATTGTACTCCCGTCGGGAGGTTCACATGTATGCCTATTCAAACCATATCATTATTATTTGCTTTTATATATAAATCAGAAATAACCAATTTAAAATGGAAAATGTTAAAGAAAAAAAAGGAAAAAAAAAATCCCCCCCCCCAATTTTTTGAACCCCCTTATGATTCATCGCCCCCAAACTCAATCCCAGCTTTCCCTTTGTGGTATGGTACCTTGCAGTACAATTTCAGAGAGATTCATACACTTGAACACAAGTTATTGTCTGGAAACTAGAAAAATGCTTGTTTTTTGGCCCCTTTTTGGCCCCAAATTCCTAAACATTTAGGGCAATTACCCCTAAACTCAATTCCAGCTTTCCCTTTGTGATATGGAACCTTGCAGTACAATTTCATAAAGATCCATACACTTACACACAAGTTATTGTCCTGAAACTAGAAAAATGCATGTTTTTTTTGCCCTTTTATGGCCCCTAATTACTAAAATTTTGAGGGAAAACCCCCAAAATCAATCCCAGCCTTCCCTTTGTGATATGGAACCTTGTAGTACAATTTCATAAAGATCCATACACTTACAAACAAGTTATTGTCATGAAACTAGAAAAATGCTTGTTTTTGCCCCTTTTTGGCCCCTAATTCCTAATATTTGGAGGAAATTACCCCAATAATCAATCCCAGTATTCCCTTTGTGATATGGAACCTTGTAGTACAATTTCATAAAGATCCATACACTTACAAACAAGTTATTGTCATGAAACTAGAAAAATGCTTGTTTTTTGCCCCTTTTTGGCCCCTAATTCCTAAAATTTGGAGACAATTACCCCCAAAATCAATCCCAGCATTCCCTTTGTGATATGGAACCTTGTGGTACAATGTCAAGAGAGATCCATACACTTACACACAAGTTATGTCTGGAAGTTACAAAAATGCTTATTTTTGGCCCCTTTTGGCCCCTAATTCCTTAACTGTTAGTACCATAACCCCCAAAATCAATCCCCACCTTCCTTTTGTGGTATTGAACCTTATGGTAAAATTTCAATGAGATCCATTCACTTAAACTAAAGTTAGAGTGCGAAAACTAATGTGTATTCGGACGACGACGACGACGACGACGACGCCAACGTCATACCAATATACGACCACAAAAATTTTTTTGCGGTCGTATAAAAAGGAAAAAAAGAAAAAAAAGGAAACCCCCCCCCCCCCAAATTTTTTTGAACCCCCTTATGATTCATCACCCCCAAACTCAATCCCAGCCTTCCCTTTGTGGTATGGTACCTTGCAGTACAATTTCAGAGAGATCCATACACTTGAACACAAGTTATTGTCTGGAAACTAGAAAAATGCTTATTTTTGGCCCCTTTTTGGCCCCCAATTCCTAAACGTTTCAGCAATTACCCCCAAACTCAATTCCAGCTTTTCCTTTGTGATATGGAACCTTGTAGTACAATTTCAGAAAGATCCATGCACTTACACACAAGTTATTGTCATGAAACTAGAAAAATGCTTGTTTTTTTGCCCCTTTTTTGGCCCCTAATTCCTAATATTTTGAGGCAATTACCCCCCAAAATCAATCCCAGCATTCCTTTTGTGATATGGAACCTTGTGGTACAATGTCAGAGAGATCCATACACTAACACACAAGTTATGTCTGGAAGTTACAAAAATGCTTATTTTTGGCCCCTTTTTCCTTTACTGTTGGTACCATAACCCCCAAAATCAATCCCAACCTTCCTTTTGTGGTATTGAACCTTGTGGTAAAATTTCATAGAGATCCATTCACTTAAACTAAAGTTAAAGTGCGAAAACCAATGTGTCTTCGGACGACGCCGGACGACGCCAGACGACGACGACGACGTCATACCAATATACGACCACAAAAATTTTTTTGCGGTCGTATAATAAAAAGTAGGTGATGCAAAAACACATAATAGTGATGATTCATAGCCTGGCCGTTTTTGGTCCTTCACATGCCTTCTTCAGAGGCAGCATAATTGATTAATAGTGGGACAAAATATTGATAGTGTCTGAAAGTTGTCTTTTACCCCATAATTATCCAATACCCAATAACCTTCTTCGCTGAGCGCAGCTGGATACGCCCGCAGAGGTCCAACCCTGAACAGTTGGGGCAAAAATGGACACAATATTCAAGCTTGATACAGGTCTGAATTTGGATTGTATTTAAATATTTGACATATTACAGGTTTCTGAATAAATGTAGTCAAAGAACTTGAAATTGGTTATATGAATTGAATTTATATTTAATTAAAGATTTCTTGCTTTTGTGCAATACACTATGCTGTTGCGCAATACTTAGTAAATCTGTTGTCAGACTATAAACAAATGAAATTCAATTAATTCTCAGTCATATTAGAAATTTATGAAAATGTAAAGGAAGCTTACATCAATAGATATAAACAATTCACCAAAGTTTCATGAGAATTGCTGACAGCATTCTTGAGTTATTGTCCTAAAACTAGAAAATCCCCCCTTTTTTAATGAATAAAACCCCATAACTCAGAAATGATAAATGAAAAATTTATAAAATTCTAAACGGAGCTTACATCAATAGATATAAACAATTCACCAAAGTTTCATAACTGCTGAAGTTATTGTACGAAAACTGGATAATCCCCCCTTTTTTAATGAATAAAACCCCATAACTCAAAAATGATAAATGAAAAATTTATAAAATTCTAAACGGAGCTTACATCAATAGATATAAACAATTCACCAAAGTTTCATAAGAACTGCTGAAAGCATTTTTGATTTTTAGTCTGAAAACTGGAAAATCTCCCTTTTTTTAATAACCCTGAAACGTAAAATCTAAAATTTATAAAAATTGACAGGGAGCTCATGTCAATAGATATAAACAATTCACCACAATTTCTTGCAAGTTGGTGAAAGCATTCTTTAGTTATTGTCCGAAAACTGGAAAATCCCCCTTTTTTTAATGAATAAAACCCTATAACTCTGAAACTTAAAATCTCAAATTTATAAAAATCGACCGGGAGCTCATGTCAATAGATATAAACAATTCACCACAATTTCTTGCAAGTTGGTGAAAGCATTCTTGAGTTATTGTCCGAAAACTGGAAAATCCCCCTTTTTTTTAATGAATAAAACCCCATAACTCGGAAACGTAAAATCTAAAATTTATAAAAACGAAAGGGAGCTCACGTCAATAGATATAAACAATTCACCAAAGTTTTATGCAAATTGGTAAAAACGTTTTTGAGTTAATGTCCGACATGTTGACGACGGATGGACAGACAGACAGAGGTATACCATAATAAGTCCCGTAAACGGGCGTATAAAAAGGATTAAATTATTTGTTCAGTTAAATATCCTGTTGAATTTTCAACAGTTTCACTCAACTTCATTTAACTGATTTTGTATGTTATGGTAAATTTTTGTTTTTGTGTAGAAGCCTCTTTTTGTCAGTTTTCTATCTGTTACTTATCTGATACGTGTTTACATGCATTCTACATATATGTCATTGCTGGTATATGACAATAAATTCAATAGAAAATATTTTTCTCATCTATTAATAATAACAGTAACTGTTCTTTATTCAAAAAGAGTTACACTATTCTTTGAGAGGCTGAAGGACCTTTTTCAGGAATTCAAGATTGAGTCGTAATTTGCGGGAGTTCAGGAATAGTCAAATTAACTGTCAGGAATTCAGGATTTAATTATATCATGACTGTGGGATTAGACACATTATTTTCACAGGAACTAGGGTTGAGACTCCCTCCTACCACTCCCTGTTCTTTCGAGGCCCTTATGAAATACAATGAATATGTATATGAAGAGCTGCGCCATGAACTCATGATACGCCTGTCACTTTTTTAACAAATAAAATTCCATTACTCCTCAACAACTCACCAAAGTTTCATGAAAATTAGATATAGCATTTTTGAGTTATTGTTCGACATGTTGGCGAAGGATGGACAACGGTATACCATAATATGTCCCGTAAACAGGCGTATAATAACAAACAAAGAAATTGAAAAAATCAAACAAATAAGGAAAATCAGATGAAAAATTGTAAACATGTACCATTAACAAGTAAATATGATTAATACATTCAGTATTGACATCATTCTATTAAAATACCTTTACAATTTACAAAGTTGTTTAGTATAAAGCAAGTGCGACAAATACATGTATCATGAATATTGTCTGTAATTACTTACTTTGGCCATTGTGGCCCACATACTGCATATCTGCAATTCTGTGAACATCCCCTTGTGAATGGATTATGTCCTCCTCTAAATTTACCTGTTACCTGTAATATACAATTATATAATACACGTAATTATTAAACATATAAATATATTGGAAACACAAATGAAAGCATTGAAAAATTATTTAGATTCTGAAGGGAAATTGTAATTGGATTTACAAATGCAAAAGTTCATATAAATTTATCCTTCCATATCACTGCAGTTCAGAATGTTGAATGTAATTTTATATGAACATACTTTGTATAAACTTACCTGTTCATTTGTTGTTCTCCCTCTAGACACTAACACCATATGAAATCCCATCAGACCACCAACAGGGAAAAGTAATAAACCTATAATTATCATTTCTACAATACTGTGATCAAAGTTAAGGAAAACTTTCTATTTACAAATGTGATATTGTTGGCAGATCCTGGGAATCTGTTAAATTTATCAACAATTTTATTCTCAGGGTGATTTAGAGCTTGACTAAAATATTATAGACGTATATTGACTTCTAAATGTCTTTTTGTTTTTTTTTTGTTGGTTTGCTGTCTCATTGACATATTAACCGCATCTCTTCATCTTTTTTATATTGTTCAGCAAAAGGTATACCAAATATATCACTGTCTAAATATATTTCAGGAAAAGAACTAAATAAAAACTTTTTTTATACGTTGCAATCTATCCAACATTCAACAAACATCTTCATTCACAAATCTTTTAAAACATGTATGTGTGAATACACAAAATATACTTTTATCTGTTTGTTCTCGACTTAGAAATGGTTAATTGACTGGACAATGCAAAAAAAAAACAACAAACATTTATGCCTCTTTCAAGCATAAAAGCAGTCTAGTTATATTGTAAGAATTCACCAATTCCATGTCAAATGTTTAGTCAACTGTAAACATCTGACCTATTGACTATTCTTGGTCGGTCAGTGTGTGTTGTTATGCACAATTTTTCTTGTTCTGAGATGATCATAAGAAACCAAAAAGCACTTTTTCTATCATTAGTCTAAATTCAATAAAGGATACGACACTATATTTCCCCTTTCTCCTATATTGTCTCTGTTTTTTAGCACATATAAAAGTGAAAATGCAAAGATGCTGAGCATGTGAATGAATAATGATATTAGAAATAAGAAAAAATATCTATAATTTCTTTTTCCTATACAATTATTCACCCATGGACAATGATGATCAAAAGTCTGAAAAAGAAAAACAAGTTCATTGTTAGGTGATTTCAAGGTTGAAGTATAAAGTTGAAGTTTTGAACATATTAAATATGAATATTTATAAACACATCGGTTGATGTGTAATAATTTCTATTTATGTATAAAATAACAACAAAATTTGAAGACAAACTCTACTATGCAGATATTAATAATTTATATATGTCATAATGTATTTTTGAAGAGTCCGTGACACAGTAGGGGACAACAGTGCACAAAAGTACAACTTTTTATTCTTCTGAAAATCAGAAAAATCAAATTTAGGGTCCTTATATATAATTCAAGCAACGTAACAAAATCCATTTACTAATAATATAACATTTTTTTATTGCTACTTTTTCACAATTTTATAACACTTTGATGTTTCAGGAATCGTTCAGTATTTCTGAGTTTTTTTGAGTCAAATTAAGGAGCTCTTCCAAAAAATAAAATTAATTGCTTCAATAACCATGACAACCCTCCAAAAGACAGGCAGCTTTTCAGTATTATAAATAATGAGCTAAAACTAGCTATGATAATGTTTGACTGGATAAAAATTTTGCTTATTTGTTTATTTCCTCACCCCTATAAATTGTGTACAAAATACATATAACTCTGTTTATGACCTTTACACCATGAACTTAAACGAATTTTGACACTTACTTCTATACATTTATTACAAACACTACAATGTGAGCACCTAGGTGGTCTATAAAACTGACATGTTGTACACCATTTCATCCGCACAGTTATACCCTTTATTTCTACGTTCTTGTATAATGGTGCTCGAAAATCTTCATCTTTAACTTCATCCTCATGAGCTGAAATAATGACATGTCAGATCAATAGTGTGGGATAATATATGCATGCATAAATTAAGTATATTTCTCGTTTGAACTATTTTACATCTGTCATGTTGGCATCTTCTATAGCTTGCTGTGTGATATTACTTCTGCTCATTGTTAAAGGCTGTACAGTGAACTATAGTTGCTTTCTTCTACCTCATTAGGTCTCTGGTGGAGAGTTGTCTCATTGGCAATTATACATTTTATTTTTTGTATGTGTTAGATTAATACTGATTCTAGATTGCCTTGATTTTAGTTAATACTGGTAATAGAATTATCCTTTCATACTTGTCTACTGCCTTTTTTGTACTTGAGATATGTGTAAATGCAAATTGCCAATGATAAACATGCATCTACATGATAGTTTTTGCCATGGTGTTGTTGGTTTCTCTTAGTAGAATTCACAAAAATTAATGTATTACTTCGGATTTCATTTGTTCTTATTGTTCTATTTCTTCATTCTTTTTTGTACTTGTCACTCATTTTAACATATGTGTGTAATTTGACCTGTACATCATGAGATGTATTTTTTTTGTATGTGCCATGTTTACCTACCTTTAGGATAAATTCCTGGGTCCATGAATGTGGCAAGGCCAAAGTTGGCAATAACAAATACTGTCACAATCCCTTGGTAGATCGGAATACCTATTGAAACAGCTTCCAGCAAATACGGACATCTGAAATTACGAGAAAAAAAACACAGTTTATGCTATTGTTATAAATATTATACATATATCTTGCATTTGATAATGTTTAAATGTACCTGCTTTTCTTTTCCGTGTATGTAATTTCTATTGCTATGAAGGTTAAAATGTTGGCAAGGCATTGAAAAATGATTTTGCCATTATGCTGTATCCATATAACTCATATGCACATAACTTATTAAACAACATGCATAAAAAGCAACACTTAATCAAGAACAAAAATTTCCTTTTGGAATTGTAATATTAAAATCAAAATTGCTGATAATCATGATAGTACACTCAATTGACTGTTAAATTAAAAAGACCAAGAGAGTATTTTCAGTGTCAGTGCACAGTTTTTATTTATGTATAAATCAATCATTAATGCATTTGGCCATTTATAGTTTATCCAGTGGTAACATAAGGCTAGTATATCAGTCTGGAAAATACATATCTACATGTATAAAAATAGTTTTATTTGCCTATAGAGATGATTTGTTCATGCCTGGGTTGGTGAACCTGTGGTGAAGACTGAGGCAGACATTATGACTTTAACATTGTGTGAAGTTAAACAAAATAAATAATTGAGACGGGTGGGCTCAGTAAACATGTGCACTGTTTTGTCTGCCTGGTCAACAAAGTTTATCTTAAAGTTTGCAGGACCAAACTGGTAACACATGAAGGTGTTAGCTCTGATAGAGATAAAAAAGCCTGGTTCAAATGTGTCATACACATGTATAAAGATTTTGAATTAGTTTTAAATTTACACAGGTCAATTATTATGTACCGGTAGTCCTTTTCAGATGTTTGGACCATTAAGGGTTTGTGTTACTTGTACCATAAAAAAAATCTATCTGCTTTCAGTTTTATTGAATATCTTAAATTGTACTTTTTTCACATCCTGGAACATCCTGTCTTCTGTGACAAAATGTGTGAAGTGTCAAATCAATACAAAATGTAATTAACATAACTGAAAAATACCTATAAAATGTAAAATCTTTTGGTAAATTAAGAATTGAATTGGCACAAAGATTCCTTCCAATCCTTTACTCGTAATTAATAGGCTTTTGTAAAAGTTTTACAGTACAATCATGACAATGTAGCTAATTAACTGATTTGTGCCATACCATATAAATAGTACAATTATAGTATTCATAAAAACTGACAGGTAAAATATTAGCAATGCAGGTAAAAAGGACATGCTGTGTAATCACTGAAGGTGTGATTGACAATTATTCATGTTGAATATAATTTAAACTATAAAACATTTCCTAGAAATTAACTGTTTAAAAGAAAAAAACTGAGTTGGGTAAACAAAGGTAAGTAAAAAGTCTTGATCTATATGGTTTTGTAAAAAAAGAAAAATAAACTAAACCTTTAAAAATTAAGTTTGTTGACCCATAATTAAAGTTGAAACTAATTTATCAATACTAAAAGTTTAATTTTTAGACAAATCTTATTAAAGATACCCGACTTATTATTTTGGTACAACAGAGGCACTTTAGGTCTACATAAGACTCTCTCGAATTCAAACATTTGGAAGACCAAATCAAATAAATACTGTGGATTCATTATTATTCGTTGGATACCAATTTTCATGGATTTTGTGGATACCTGAGAACCACTAATTCCAATGTCCAACGAATTACAAAATTTTGTATAGGAATTTATGCAGACTTTGGCAAAACCATGAAATCAAATATCCACGATAATTCAAGTTTTCCTGAATCCACGAAAATTGGTATCAACAAAAATAAATGAATCCACAGTATATATATATAGTTCGAGCATTAAAAGCCGAAAATTCCAAATAATTATGCCCAAAGCATAATTATCCCTATTATCACGTTAACTCGTACAAAAGAATACATAATTACAATTATGGAATTGGCAAAAAGATTATTACTTTTAATTGATCATGTCATAATATGTAAATTTATGAATATATTAAAGACAATTAGTAGACCCTTTTCTTTTCTTTTATTTCTACCTGTCATCGTGGTCATGTGACATTGAGAATGACTGATAAATCATGAGAAGTCAAGATCTTCCACATCCCTATTAGTCAATGATCTACTGAATTATAATCATATTATGTTCCCCAAATATCCTTCCAAAATTAAATTCATATGAAAGGAGTTTCATGTAATTTTAATTGTTATGGAAATTATTGAACCAATGCATGCATAAATACTAAACTAAGTCCTGTATGCACGTTTTTTTTTATATTTATTAAGAGTCTATAAGGTATTATAGACAAATGATATTTCATTCAGTCATTGTTGATCGCAAGCTAATTAACTTTCAAGTTTGTTGCCGAAGTTTACTGGATTGTGACATTGATCAACAATCAACAAAGAGCCATGACAAATAAATAAATTGATAAAGCCATGATTTTTTTTTTATATTTTCCATGCATTCCCATTTGGCAATTAAACTTTTCCTTAAAAGTTGTTAAATGATTTGTTGTATAAAATTTGTTTTTTAAGAATGTTATTATTATTTACCATTAGTGCAAGTTTGTTTACATTCTTTCATCATGGTTTTCCCCTTACACTTGCACGGGTTGAAGTTCTAACGAGAGGTCTCGTAGTTAAGGTCACTGCATACACATGATACAAGAAAATATTTGTGAATTAATGTACGGGTAGAGACAATAATTCAATAGCAATACATTTATGAAGATTTTGATAATATATAGGATTACCTTTTGCAAGAAATTTCAGGTACACTTGTTTCATAGTAAAACTTGAGCCATTCAAGTATTTAAAACATATTCAACTTTTCTTTTTAAATTTGAAGTTTCATACTACTTTAATAATTTATGAAACCTGGATTTGTTATCTTATTTTTTTTTAAATGAGACTAAGAAATAAAATCTCATGATAATGTATCACTTCTTCCTTATTTTGACACACTATAATATATATTTTATGTTAGCTATGTGCTTTATCTAAATTTATAATGTATCCCTACAAATAATTTTCTAGTCACTGCTTATGCCATTTGTAGGGTTTAACATCAATTTTTATACCCAAAGTGTCAATGACATTTTACTTTTCTCAACATTTATAACTACTTGTTCATATTTTTGGGATTCAGAAATGCCAAAAAAATTTATATATCTGCATCAGACAACAATTTTAAGATACAAATGTACAAGTGCTATACAAATCTTTTCAAGTACTTAAATAAAACAAAGAGCAAACTCTATTTCTTCAAATGCAATCAGGCCAAACAAAATTTATGTATGTTTATGGTCTGAAAGTTATTTTCAATGTGTGTATCTCATTAAAACCAGAAATTGGGCAAATGTAGGCTTTTAACATGTATGACACAGACAATAGTGCTGAACTTTCAACATATAATCAAAGGTACATTTTTGTAAATCTGTTTAAAACAAGGAATTATTTGAATCTGGAATAATTTTGAATTCTGGAAAATTGATCAGAAATTTATGATGAAAACTAACCCAACTAAATAGGGTTAGCCATGCACGCATGGCTAAGGGGTGTTAGTTAGTTCATACTGAAATGATAGTGAAAGTAAAATTAACCTTAGCCATGCGCGCATGGCTAACCCTATTTAGTTGGGTTAGTTTTCATCATACATTTCTAATCAATTTTCCAGAATTCAAAATTATTCCAGATTCAATTAATTCCTTGTTTTAACATAAACACTTGAATAAATTCAGAGACTTGATTTTTGGTTTGTTTCCCCATTTTTACAAATGTTTTAAAAATTTTTTTTTATTTAAAAGCCAATAATATAATTTATAAATACATGTGTTCCTAAATCGTTAGAACGGTTCAGATGATAAAATATAAATTTGAAACATCACCTGTACTGTCTGTCATTAGGCAGAAATCTCATTATAAATTTAAAGACCTTAAAGCAGATTTTCAGACCTGTCTCCAAGTTGGACATACCATATTTGGCCGTGTATTGTATGCAGTTGTGTATAATATGCACCCCATTTTCATCCCTCCAAAATTATGAAAAAAGTCTAGTGAAAATAATAATACGTATAAAAATTTAAAAAAAAAGTTTATTTCTTTAAGTTTAATGATTGAAAAATTGTTGTTTAGGTTGCAAATAAATCATGCATATTCAGGTGAAAATAAGATCAAATTAAACATGTTAAAAAGACAGCAAGGGTGTGGAAATATCAATATTCTTCACTTGTTGCAGGACAAGTACTATACATTTGTACATAAATCTATTTGCCCTGATTTTATTTACTTGTCACTACTGGCAATGACTGGTTGTGCTATTACAGATATTATTTGTCCCAGACAAGTAGTTGAAATATTTACATCTTCAGGAGATTTTACGACAAGCCAGACAAGTTGACAATAGTATTTCCACATCTCTGAGCCATCAAATAAATGTTGCTTTTAACTTTAGGAAGAAGGGCATACAAATTTAGTTAGTCACATGAAAAGGTGGATAAAAGCAGAAATTTTTTCTTGTAACAGGTCTACACTTATATTTTTAAAAGATTTCATTAAAATGCAGTTTGTGTGGGACTATTCCTACAATAGGTATCAGATTTAACTGATTAACATTCATGTTCTGTCTTATATTTATAAATTTGTCACGACTCTAAACAGAAAGTCCTACACTTTGGGTATTGGTCTTCCTGCAGGACAGAAAATAACAAGGTGATTATTTCTGTTGAAAACTTGACAACCCTTGTGTTCTGTTAGTTATAGCAAAATTATTAAATTCATGTAACATGAAAATATAAGTTGGAATAGATGCCTTTCACATCATGCATATTCACATATATTTCCCATGTCACAATGCCTTTGCTATAACATAACAGAAAGAATTAATTTTTTCAATGAAGTCATTTATTCTGATTGACTTAGCATCAACTGTCTTTACTTCTCCTTAAAAAAACACTTGATATTGTTCCATAACCGATCCACTGTTTTCCCAAAAACTCCTGAAAACTCAATAAGTACCTGAGGACTAATAGAAATTACCTGAAAACTCTTTTTTATATGGTGTAAAAACAAATACTGCTTTTAATGATAAAAAAATTCGTAAGGGTTCCGCGGAACCCAGTGTCTCGCCTACTTTTTCTGTTAATCGCAGGCTCTACAAAAATGAGGAAGTAAATCAATAAAAATATTCCACTTGATACTATCTTTTGATTGTAAGAAGTTTCAGTCCAAGTTTGGTAAAAATCCAGGATAGTTTATGAATCTAGTAAATGTTTAAAAACTTTAACTGCAGACTGAATGTAATTTTATCTGGAAGAAAACAAAATTTCCTTCTAGATACTAGCATTTGATCATAAACAAGCTTCTGTCCAAGTTTGATACAAATCCAAAATAGTATAAGAAAGTTATTAAAATTTTAAAAACTTTAACCACAGAGTGAATGTGTTGTTTCCTGGCAGAAAATCTAAGTCCATTTAAAAGTAAAATAAGGAAAAAATGGATTTATTTTTTTACAAAATTTACTTCTGAATAATATCTTATGATCATAAACAAGCTTCTGTCCAAGTTTGGTACAAATCCAAAATAGTATAAGAAAGTTATTAAAATTTTAAAAACTTTATCCACAGAGTGAATGTGTTGTTTCCTGGCAGAAAATCTAAGTCCATTTAAAAGTAAAATAAGGAAAAAATGGATTTATTTTTTTACAAAATTTACTTCTGAATAATATCTTATGATCATAAACAAGCTTCTGTCCAAGTTTGGTACAAACCCAGGATAGATTAAGAAAGTTATTAAAATTTTAAAAACTTTAACCACAGAGTGAATGTAATATTTCCTGGCAGAAAAACTAAGTCCATTTATAAGTAAAATACGGAAAAAATGGAATTTTATTTTTACAATATTTACTTCTGGATACTATCTTATGATCATAAACAAGCTTCTGTCCAAGTTTGGTAGAAATCCAGGATAGTTTAAGAAAGTTATTAAAATTTCAAAAACTTTAACCACAGAGTGAATATTTGTGGACGCCGCCGCCGACGACGACGCCGACGGAATGTAGGATCGCTATGTCTCGCTTTTTCGACTAAAGTCGAAGGCTCGACAAAAAGACTAACTTTAAGCATGTTGAGATATACATTTGTATGTTCATTTCACTCAATCATTTGTCAATTAAAGTAGGAGTTGACTTCACTCACTAAGTGTTTGTGTGTCTTGTATGCAAATTCCTTGAATTACAATTTGGTGGACGTAATTATTCAAAACATCAATAATAAAATTGAGAATGGAAATGGGGAATGTGTCAAAGAGACAACAACCCGACCATAAAGCAGACAACAGCCGAAGGCTACCAATGGGTCTTCAATGCAGCGAGAAACTCCGGCACCCGGAGGCGTCCTTCAGCTGGCCCCTAAACAAATATGTATACTAGTTCAGTGATAATGGACATCATACTAAACTCCAAATTATACACAAGAAACTAAAATTAAAAATGATACAAGACTAACAAAGGCCAGAGGCTCCTGACTTGGGACAGGCGCAAAAATGTGGCGGGTTAAACATGTTTTTTGAGATCTCAACCCTCCCCCTATACCTCTAGCCAATGTAGAATAAACAAACGTACAACAGTACGCACAGTAAAATCCAGTTTAAGAGAAGTCCGAGTCCGATGTCAGAAAAGGAAACAAAAGAAAATAAACAAAATGACAATAATACATAAATAACAACAGACTACTAGCAGTTACTGACATGCCAGCTCCAGACCTCAATTAAACTGATTGAAAGATTGTGTCTTCATAATATGAATATCAGGCACAATCCCTCCTGTTAGGGGTTTAGTATTATACCATCATAAAATATATGAGAAGAACATAACCCGTGTCATGCCAACAACTGGTTTTAGAATAAATATGTTTAATTCCGATGCAAAGACCCTATAAGTGAATCAATATTAAAGCCAAAATATGCAATCTTTAATGACCTGACAAAAGTATCGTAACTATATACCTTCTTAATAAGTCTGTTTAAAGGTTTTGTTAGCTTTTGAGGTGAATACTGACATTTTTGTGCTTTGTAAAGAATAATAACTCTACTTAATAGCATACAAGACACACAAAACAAATTCCTGGAGTTAAATAGACAACTTTTGAATTAGTGCACTTTCCCAGTCAGCACAGATGACCCGTGTTAGTTAAACTGTAGTAGGAATAGCAAGTATTTGCAAAATTTTGTTTAGACACATAAGAAAAATATCATAATATTGGTCTTATGACTAGTAGTTGTAAAAGATTTTGGCACAGACTGCTTTCCTGTATATTTCCTATGTCACAATACTTCTGTTATTAAGTCACAGCAAGAAGCTGATGCCGTTTACACTGATTGATCTCGGGTCAACAGAAGTAACTCATTCATAAATAAATGGTGAATGTGCATGGGACACAGATGATGCCCTGGCTTGCATATAATGTTATAAAGGGACATAACTCAAGAACGGGAAAAGTGACGCCACCAAAATTCTAACTTGATCTGTGTTTTGTGGTAATAAGCATTGTCTATAAGTTTCATAACATTGATTTGGTTGAGGCAAACTTAAGGTAGAGAAAGGAAACCAAAAATTCAACAATTTTTCCATTTGTTAAGGGGCATAACTCTAGTACAGTAAAAGTGATGCCACCCGAATTCAAACTTGATCTGTCTTTTGTGGTATAAATAAGCATTGTGTATAAGTTTCATAACATTTGGTGGAGGCAAACTAAAGTTAGAAAATAGAAAACAATTTTGGGACGTACGCACAGAAGAGGGTAACACTTAATACCCACTCTGCTACAGCAGGGGCATATAAACAAACTTGAGATTTGGTGCATTAATTTTATTGAGTAAAAATGACATAAAATTATCTCAAAATTATAGTCTACTAATAAAAGTCTATCAGTCTATCTTTTAAAGCAGTAACATATTAATTAAAGTAGAGTTTTAGCTTGTTTAGGGTAATATCAATTCGTTCTCTGATTCTTAAAAGTTTTGGGGTAATCGTGATACCTTTATAGAACAATATCAAGTTCTTTTTTTTTTTAATCGGGTACCATTTCTATAAAACTACAAGAACTTTCACATATTCTGATATTACATGTATTTGTTCAGTGATCTGCACTACAAACTGACAGAATTATGATTTAAAGTGAGTAGACCAGTCCGTATAAGGACAAAAATTCTTTCATTTTCCAGTAGCATTAGAAATATTTTAAAAAATGCAGGTGTAGTAAATAAAAGGGGGGAGTGGTTTACTTACACGAAGGCAAAGAATACTGCTGTTGCTCCGAGCAGTAAACTCCAGGCACAAGTTGCCGGGATTATTTTGGTAGAAAATTCGCATCGTGACATGATATTTAATGGGTTTAAGAGGGGGTATTAGCTTGAATAATCAACCAAGAAAACAAAGATGGCATTCCTTCAGGTTGGGCCGATCCACTGCAAAGTAAACTAATTACACGGAAAAAGAGTAATTTTATTTTATATATACAACATTAGTTTTCAAAAGCTTTTATTTAAATAATGTTATTCGCCCTTATTTTGTGTACTTTCATTTCTATTTAAATCTAAACTGTATAAGTAAAAAAGAAAATAAATAATAGTAAATCAGGTCGCAGCGTATGGATATCATAAATTAGTTCTTCGCACGGGATTGTGGGATAACTAAACGTGCACTTCCGCTTTCGGTTCATCCAAACTAGTTAGGATAATTTCAACTTGGTGACACAAAAATTCATAACATGTCATGATAAAATAGTTGATGTATCCGTAATTTTTGATAAAAATTATGACTATTTTGTGTAAAAATGGCATATTTGAAAATTATAGTGCGTAGATAGTTTTGATTAATTCTTCTTAGTTTCAGTGAAGTTTAAAAGAAACAGTTTTTTTCTGGAGATAGATCAGAAGCATCATATTATATGTGTTCGTGAAGGAATGGGAAATCACAGCTCACATAGTCAAAATGGACATAGTCAAAGGAAAGGATCAGAATCATCAATGGACGCTGGAACTTCGGCTTTGTCCGGTCGGACAGGTTCAAAAAAGAATTCAGCATGTCTGATAAAATTATTTCAGGTACATATTGTAGATATGTGTATACCTTAAATATCTGAAAGGAATCTAGATGGATTCAGTAGGTTTATATTATCTTTTTGTCGAGCCTGGAACATCTATGATGCGAAAGCGAGACATAGCGATCCTAGATTCCATCGTCAGCATCATCAAATTTTAGGTTAATTCTGTGGTAAAAGTTTTTTTTAGACACCAATAACTTATCTAACCTTAATGGATATTTAGTAAATTTGGACACAAGATTTTTTATGACCAAAATTTTGAAACTATTTATTTTAATTTTTCTGTATTTTACTAATAAATGGACTTAGTTTTGTTTTACAGTTAACATTCAGATTAAATTATGTTAGTCTGAGGTTTTAGTCATCAAAAACTTTTTCAAACCTTCATGGAGTTTTATGAAATTTGGACAGAAGCTTGTTAATGACCAAAATACAGTATCCAGAGCAAAATTTTGAAAATATTTATTTCATTTTATCACATTTTACTGATAAATGGACTTAGTTTATTTTTTACAGTTAACCATTGTTAACAAGTAGTAGATAGTGAATCCGGGTCCGTTCGCCCTGATTCATGTTCGCCCTAGTACCTGTTCGCCCTGGGTCCGTTCGCCCTAATTCCTGTTCGCACTGAGTCCGTTCGCCCTGATTTCTATTTTATTTTGTTGTCTTGTATAGTATAAATTATTTGAATTAATTATGTTAAAGTTTGTTGAAAATTAAGCCGAATATTTATGTTGTATTGCTGCTACCAGATAATTATTTTTCTTTTGATTTGCATTAAATAATCTTTCCAGAATATTCATCATGTTGAATGTGGGCAGTATTTTGAAGAAGAAGAAACTGGAGACCAAGTTATCTGTATGGATTTATCTTTGTTGAAACCTTGTAACAATTTCAAAACAATCCAAACAGGTATAACAAGATCCAACTCACTCAACACCTTGAGATCAAAGAAGCCAAGCAGCGAAAACAATTTCCCTTTAGTGTCTTACAATTCTTACATCATTGTTTTAACTCATTCCAAGCTGACTTGTTTATTTAAAAAAAAACAATTTCATTATTAATCCATCAAAACAATAACAACAACAATCAGTGAGATCAAAGACATCGTAATCATACCTAATCAGCATTCTAAATTACAAAACTTTGAATTTTCAGAATACTCAGCCTTTTCTAACTCAGGAATAGATTACCTTAGCTTACCTGTGGCAAAACTTTTAGGAATTTTGGGTCCTCAATGCTCTTCAACTTCGTACTTTATTTGGCCTTTTTGGTTCGAGCGTCACTGATGAGTCTTTTGTAGACGAAACGTACATGTATGTCTGGTGTACATAATTTCAATCCTGGTATCTATAATGAGTTTATCTATAATCAACAGTCATCAAAATTAATTCTGAATAAAAACAATTGTAACAATAAGACAATTAGACTGATTAATGCTCCAAAACAAAAACCTTTTTTTTTATATTAATTTCCATGTTTATTCATGAATTTGGAGAGATATATATTTTTTTAATATTTACTATTTAAATATCTGAATAAGATTATAAAACCTTAAATTATACCATAAATATTAATTTTTTTTTTATAAATTAGAGCGAACGGACCCAGGGCGAACGGACTCTATGGGCGAACGGACTCAGGGCGAACGGACCCAGGGCGAACATGTAATTAGGGCGAACGGACCCGATACCGTAGATAGTCTGGGGTTAAAAGTTTTTCAGTCATCAATTTTTTTGTCAAACCTTCATAGAATTTTGTGAAACTTTGACAGAAGGTTTTATATGATTAAGAGATCATGTCTGAAGTAAACTTTTAAAAATATATTTTTTTTCATTTTCAGTTTTTTTCTGATAGACAAATGATAGATGGACTTAGTATTGTAAAGTTAACATTTACAGACAGTCGGGTTTTTTTTGACATGATGAATTTATAAACAGTCTTGGAATGTTATGAAACTTGGACAGAAGCTAATCTTCAAGACCAAGAAATAGCATATAAAAAAAAGTTTGAATTTTTATATAAATTCTGTATTTTACTAACATATCTATTAAATGGTCTCACTTTTTAAGTCAACATTACACTTTTACACTGACAGCAGCAATCACAGGTGAGACACAGGGTACCATGGAACCCCTTACAATTTTTATTATTAACATAATATGATATACATGTAGACAGGCACATGAGATAGAATCCCATCAAACAAATAACCAAAAGATTGAATAAAAGTTCAGCCAACAGACATGAGTATCATGACTATAGTCTTTTATGAACTTCTTGTATCACATGTAACTTGTATCCTCAATCCTAAAATCACCACTTTACCACAGTTAGACCAAACTGTCAATCATGTACAGCATGTGTACAAGTTCACAAAATACAACAAAGTTCAAATAATCATGATATTACACAGTCAGGAGCTTGTAATTTAGTGGTTGTCTACATAGACAGTCAGGAGCTTGTAATTCAGTGGTTGTCGACATAGACAGTCAGGAGCCTGTAATTCGGTGGTTGTCGTTTGTTGCTGTATATCATATTTGTTTTTTCGTTCATTATTTTGTTCATAAATCAGGCTGTTAGTTTTCTCGTTTGAAATTGTTTTACATTTGTTATTCAGGGCTTTTTATAGCTGACTATGCGGTATGGGTTTTGCTCATTGTTGAAGACCGTATGGTGACCTATATTTGTCAACTTCTATGTCATTTGGTCTCTGGTGGAGAGTTGTCTCATTGGCAATTATACCACATCTGCTTATTTTTATATTGAAAGTTTCAAACTTTCAATTATGTACAACATGTGTACAAATTCACAGAACACAACAAAGTTTAAATAATCATAACATTATACAGGCATGATAAATTTATATGGTAGTTAAGAGCAGTTAATGAATTGGCATCATGCATATGCTTAAACATGATAAATACTTGATTTTTCTAAATTTGCCTAATAAATGTAACAACATTGTCTTCTATCTGGCTACAAATCCAACATATATTATTTTCCTGGTTTTTATACGACCGCAAAAAAATTTTTGTGGTCGTATATTGGTATGACGTTGGCGTCGTCGTCGTCCGGCGTCGTCGTCCGAAGACGCATTAGTTTTCGCACTCTAACTTTAGTTTAAGTGAATGGATCTCTAAGAAATTTTACCATAAGGTTCAATACCACAAAAGGAAGGTGGGGATTGATTTTGGGGGTTATGGTACCAACAGTTAAGGAATTAGGGGCCAAAAAGGGGCCAAAAATAAGCATTTTCTAGATTCCAGACAATAACTGTGGAACGGTGTATGGATCTCTCTGAAATTATACTATAAGTTTCCATACCACAAAGGGATGGTTAGGATTTGCTTTGGGGGGTTATTGCTCAAACCGTTTAAGAATTAGGGGCAAAAAAGGGGGAAAAACAAGGTTGTCCTCATTAATGGACAAATACTTTAGTACAAAACATAATTTAAAGCAGTGTAAGGGAGATAAATCAAATACATCATTGAAATTATCTCCCTTACACTGCTTTTAAATTATGTATAAAGTAATGGTTAATGAACAATTAAGATAATTTAAAACAGTGTAAGGGAGGTAATCAGAATACAATGTTTTGGTTACTTCCCTTACACTGCTTTTAAATTATGTTTAAAGAAATGCATATTTATAAAGGAAGACCAGTATGGTGCATTAGATTTGTAAAATCTTTGACCACATTTATTTATTTGTTATGCCGAATCTAACCGTGTATTTAGATTTTTAATTTTGGGTCCAGTTTTCAAATTGGTCTACACTAAGGTCCAAAGGGTCCAAAGTTAAACTTTGTTTAATTTTAACAAAAATTGAATATATGGGGTTCTTTGATATGCTGAATCTAAACATGTATTTAGATTTTTGATTTTTGGCCCAGTTTTCAAGTTGGTCCAATTTGGGGTCCAAAATTAAACTTTGTTTGATTTCAACAAAAATTGAATATATGGGGTTCTTTGATATGCTGCATCTAACCATGTATTTAGATTTTTTATTTGTGGACCCCACTATCAAATTGGTTCATATTGAGGTCAAAAGGGTCCAAAATTAAACTTTGTTTGATTTCATCAAAAATTTAATTATTGGGGTTCTTTGATATGCCAAATCTAACCGTGTATTTAGATTTTTAATTTTGGGTCCCGTTTTTTAAATTGGTCTACATTAAGGTCCAAAGGGTCCAATTAAACTTAGTTTGATTTTAACAAAAATTGAATTCTTGGGGTTCTTTGATATGCTGAATCTAAACATGTGTTTAGATTTTTGATTATGGGCCCAGTTTTCAAGTTGGTCCAAGTTGGGGTCCAAAATTAAACTTTGTTTGATTTCAACAAAAATTGAATATATGGGGTTCTTTGATATGCTGAATCTAAACATGTATTTAGATTTTAGATTTTTGGCCCAGTTTTCAAGTTGGTCCAAATTGGGGTCCAAAATTAAACTTTGTTTGATTTCAACAAAAATTGAATATATGGGGTTCTTTGATATGCTGAATCTTACCATGTATTTAGATTTTTTATTTGTGGGCCCGCTATCAAATTGGTTCATATTGAGGTCAAAAGGGTCCAAAATTTAACTTTGTTTGATTTCATCAAAAATTTAATTATTGGGGTTCTTTGATATGCCAAATCTAACCGTGTATTTAGATTTTTAATTTTGGGTCCCGTTTTTTGAATTGGTCTACATTAAGGTCCAAAGGGTCCAAATTAAACTTAGTTTGATTTTAACAAAAAATGAATTTTTGGGGTTCTTTGATATGCTGAATCTAAACCTGTGTTGAGATTTTTGATTATGGGACCAGTTTTCAAGTTGGTCCAAGTTGGGGTCCAAAATTAAACTTTGTTTGATTTCAACAAAAATTGAATATATGGGGTTATTTGATATGCTGAATCTAAACATGTATTTAGATTTTAGATTTTTGGCCCAGTTTTCAAGTTGGTCCAAATTGGGGTCCAAAATTAAACTTTGTTTGAATTCAACAAAAATTGA